GCAGGAGCCATGGCGCTGTGGGCAAGAAGGTGGGGGAGGCGAGCTGGCGACCGAGGCGGTCTCTCGCCGGTGTCTGGCTGCGCCTGCTGCGGGAGCTTTGACAGCTTGGCGAAGCGAAGGGAGAGGAGCTTTATGGTAATTGCGGTTCTCCACTGGCCTTCTGGGTAGCGAGCAGGGGGCGGGCGGGCGACTTTCCTTTCCCACCTCGCCTGGTCAAAGGGAGAGCGGAGTCTCCCCAGGACGCCCTCGGGCAGGGCGAGGCTGGGGGAGCGGGGGAGCGGCGCTTGGAGGAGCTCAGGCAGGCTGGGAACAGGCGAGCCGTGGGCAGGGGGAAGAGAGTCGGCATTAGGAAGAGGGGAGGAAAAGCCCCCGACGAGAGAAGCCGGCAGCCCGAGAGCGAAGCCAAAGGGAAGCCTCGCTCGGAGCGCGCGCGCAGGGGCCGCAGCTTCCCCGCCGCCTCTCCGCCTGTGCTGGCGGAGGCTCCCTGAGTGCCGAGCCCGCCGGGGGAGGGAAGGTGAGGAAAAGCGGCTTTCCCGGAGGATTAAATCCCCAGCGCCAGCCCCGCCACAGACGCGCACGGAGACGCCGCCAGGGCACGGGACTCTCCGCGGGAAGGAGCATGTAGGCGTCGCCGCCAGAGCCCCGAGCAGCCTCCACGGCAACATGGCGCTGCCGAAGCCGAGCCGGCAGGCAGCCGGAGGTAGCGTGGTGGGGTGCTGAGTCCCTACGGCTGGCCGCGGCGGTCGGTTGGGTCGGTCTCCCTGCCCTTCCTGGTTCCGCCGCCGGCGGGATCTTCCTGCGTCGGAACGGCCGCCGCCCTTGGGCTCCCAGACCGGCAAACTTTTCTCACCCGCCGCCACTGGCCTGAGAAGGGACTTTCTACGGCAGCGCCGGGCGGAACGTCTGCGGTGGCTTCGCTGGAGCGGAAAGTCAGGTCAGTCCTTTCCCTAGAACTCCTCGCTGCGCGGAAAGGCCGCGCGGGGCAAAGAGCAGACGTGCGCGGGGAGGGGGGGGTCTTCGCTCAAGGTCCCTAGACGACTACTACTTTTTTTGGCGGGGGCAGGCTAGTCTTTTTTCTCTCCCCCCCCCCCCCCCCCCC